CCCCTCCCTTTCAACCCAGAGTGTGGCAGGCACGCCCCCTACAGGCAGCTGAAAGAGCTGACTGGGAGAAGGGCTCTCCTTAGGGACCCTGACAATTTGGGCTGAGGATTTTCCCTCCCCTAGCAGGCTGGACCCAAGAGATGTTATTGTTACAAGTCCAGGGCCTCTGTGGTCCTCCCTTTTCTCTCCTCCCCAAATGACCATGTGATTATCACTTTCCCTCTCAGCTCCTTTCCTTCTCTGTCAAGTGCACTTCGCAGATTCTGTGCTCCCAGGTCCTAGATCTGTAGAATTTCAAGGAAAGCAGTGCTGCTCACCCACATGGAATCCCAGACAGCTGACCGAGGACTAGAGGCACAGGCAGCAGTGTGGGTCCCCACAGAGCTGCATGGTGGGCACCGGGTAGACTGAAGGAACCAGGAGCCAATCCCCTGAGGATCTTCAGCCCCAAGTGAACTAGGGAGGGATCAGCAGGCTGGGCTTAACCCACCAGGGCCTCCCCTGTCCCTGTCCTAGCAGCATTGTCTTAGAATTTTCTTTATGTGCTAAGCAACCACCAAAGAACCTGTCTAATTACCTGGAAATTTCCCCTCATCACACATAACTACACATGACTCCTGCCCCAAATTACTCCTTTATTAAAATAGCTAAAAGAGCTTAAACTGACTTGAATCTGGGACCCCTTTCAGGTTTGCCGAGTACTCTGGGATCCTCACACACACCAGAGCCTTCCCACAGGAGCCCGACTCTGTCATTCCCCCCACAGCTTCCGGAACTCGTTTCTTCTGTCAGTCCTGATAGCAGTTCCAGAGACACCTTGTAATTTAGGTGTCTCCAGGCTCTTATTATAATACAGACAGCCTGTCATTTTCTGCCTAATTCCTTTTCGTTGTCTGCATAGTGTTTACAATTGTAGGATTATTTGCCTGTCATTATTTTATTAATTGATTGACTTGTGTTCATTAGTTTTCTACTTGATCAGGAATGTGTTTATACCACAAAGGCACATATATGAAAAACTGAGGCACAAATAGCTAAGGGCATATTTCTCCCTGCAACAATACCCGCCAGTTACATGAAAATACTGGGTCTTTCTCATTCTCTATTCCACCATCCCTTTTATGTTGGTGATGTTTTCATCCTTGCTGATGGAAGACCTAGCTGCTCCAGCTCCAGCTATCACACCTATAGCCAAGAGGAAAAGGGCCTCATGAATCCAATGGGTTTCTTTTCTTTACAAAACTTTCCTAAGAAACACCTCACCCATTGACTCTCACATTCCATTGAGCAGGCCTGAGCCACATGGTCAATTCTGGCTGAAAAGGACCTGGGAATCACAGGCACCGGTGTTTTCAGTGAATATACAAGACAGTGCTCAGGTGGAAGGTGGCAGGTACTGTCTGTTGGCTCTGTAAACCCACTGTTTACTGAACAGCCGAACCCACATGATGAGCAACTCACTTCAAGAAGGCAGTGTCTTCTTCCTGCCGAATTCCCAGCATGAACCATGTCCCAGACCAGAGTGGGTCTGGATAAACAATTGTTGGGTTCATGTTCTTTTGTCTCTAAGCGTGACATTAGTGCAGCAGCCACCACTGCACAATGGCCCTGCATCCACAGCGGGTACCAGTAAGAGCCAGTTCCTAAGTCCTGTGACCTGCATCTTCGGTCCCAAGCCCTGGTATTACCCCCAAAATCACAGAGACGTGTGCAGGCAGCCTCAAGTATACCTGCCTCCTCTTCTTCCAAATAGTCATGTTTCTACTGTCATGAGCAATCTGCACCCCTTGCACCTGGTACTGAGGCAGGCAGGGGCCACACAGAGAAGAGGAATTTCTCCCCTGGGGCTGGCAGTCCCGAGGGGAGAATGAGGGAATTAAGGACCTGAGCAGCAGGTTCTGATTCTATACGTGGACCCACGAGAGGCAGAACAGTCACGTCGGGATGGGGTGGGCTACTCTCTAGAGGGGGAACTAGAACTATATCATGCAGGGAGAGTCAGTGACCAACACCTAAGACCTGGAAAGAAAGGTGTCATTTTCTACAGCATCATCCTTAACACCGAGGAACAAATTCTCTAGGCTTTGTGTTTCTCAGCTACGTCTCTGGCCGATGTTGCATGTGTGACACAGATGCAGGCACTTTACTTCCTCCCATACACTGGCCCACTCTTCTGGGCTGAAACGCTGTCACTGCCACAAATGCTGTCCTCCCTTGTGGTCACGTGCGTTTCATATCCCTCCCGTATGCTCTGAGAGCCTTTCTATCCTGCTACACAGCAAACACTTCTTTCAGCATCCAAGCTGCACCTGACCCTGACCACACACTGGGGATACCAAGGCACAGTACCTGTGCCCTATGCCAAGAGCTCAGAGCCAAGGCCAGAACGCACAGCATCTGCTGGATCTTTCAACACTCTGTGTGCACATGACAAGGGTATGTTTTTTCTGGGAACCACCACTCACAGGCAATGGCAGGTCCCTGCACATCTGTAAGCCCCATGGTGTCACCTGTAGAGTGGGGTCACTAGGGCCACTGCATTGGCTCGAAAGGTACTCTCTAGAGGGGGAACTAGAACTATATCTATCATCTGGACTCTGTAACAACTATGTAAGGACAGGACACCCCTGGAGTCCTAGATTACCCACATCACTCCTGAGCCAGGATCCAACAGCAGAAGAACCTGAGGATAATTCCACAGTGGCCATGTGACTCCCTGGCCACCTCTGGGCAGGACAAGGAATGACCAACCACATGGGCAGGATATCAGATTCTCTGGAAAATGCACACAGAATTTCCCTCAGAGCTCTGCATGGCCAGACCAGCTGAGCAGGACCTGGGAATCACAGGCACTGGTCTTTTCAGTGAATATAAAAGACAATGCTCAGGTGGAAGGTGACAGGGACTGTCTGCTGGGTCCGCAAACCCAGTTATCCTGCACGGCCAAACCAGCACAATGAACAACTCACTTCAAGAAGGCCATGTCTTGTCCCTGCTGAATTCCCGCATGCAATGTGTCCCAGACTACAGTGGGTCTGGATAAACATTTGTTGGGTGGATGTTCTATCTCTGACTTTGGTGCAGGAGTCACCACTATACACTGGCCCTGCATCCAGAGCAGGCACCAGTAAGAGCTAGTCCCTGAGTCCTGTGATCCCCACCTTCTGTGCCAAGCCCTGGTATTACCCCCATAACCACCCACCATCCAGAGACATGTGCAGGCACCCTCAGGTGGACCTTCCTCCTCCTCTTCCAAATAGTCATGTTCATATTGTCATGGGTAACCTGCACCCCTCGCACCTGGTATTGAGGCAGGTATGGGTCACAGAGAGAAGAGAAAAACTTCCTCCATTGGCACCGGCAGTTCACAGACCTGATTCCACAGCAGATCTGATTATACACCTAGACTCAGGAGGCCCTTGAGCCTCCAGCAGCCAGTGTGGAGCAGCCACCAGGGGACAGAACAGAGTCACCTGGCAAAGCCACCTGGAGATGGGGTGGACCTGGGTGACAAGGAGATGCGGACATGCAGGGAGGGTCAGTGACCACAACCTCAGACTAGAAAGAAAGTTGTCATTTTCTACAGCATTGTCCTCAACACTGAGGTACAAATTCTCCAGGCTTTGTGTTCCTCAGCTCTGTCTCTGGCCGATGTTGCATATTTGAGACAGGTGCACCACTTTGCTTCCCCTACACACTGGCCCACTCTTCTGTGCTCAAACGCTGTCAGTGCCACAAACGCCATCCTACCTTATGGGCATATGTGTTTCATCTCCCTCCTGTTTGCTCTGAGAGCCTCCTCATTCTGCTACACATCAAAGACTTCTTTCAGCATCTAAGCTGTACCTGACCCTGACCACACACTGGGGATACTGAGGCACAGCACCTGTGCCCTACCCCAGAAGCTCACAGCCAAGGCCAGGAACTTACAGCATCTCCTGGGTCTTTCAACACTCATGTGCACATGACAAGGGTGAAGTTTGATTGTGGGAAGGACCTCTCAGAAGCAATGGCAGGTCCCTGCACATGTGCAAGCCTTATGGTGTCACCTGTAGAGTGGGGTCACGAGGGTCACTGCATTGGATTGAAAAGTGCCCTTCAGAGGGGGAGCTAGAGCTACACCTGACATGTGGACTTTGCCACAAAATATTTAAGGACAGGACACTCCTGGAGTCCTAAACTGCCCAAGTTACCCTGAGCCAGTATCTAACAGAGGAAGGACCTTAGGTCTCAGAGTAATCCCTCAGTCACCATTGTAAGTCAGTCCCTGGCCATCTCCATGCAGGACAAGGAATGGCCACAGGGGCAGCACATCATACAACCTGGAAAACGCACACAGAATTCCTGTCAGAGCTCTGCATGGCCAGATCTGCTCAGGAGTGAGGCCAGAACACAACCTACAGTGGTGATGTCAACCCAGATGTTGGGACCAGAAGGAGAATGAGAATTCTGTGTGCTGAGGGTGGGCCTTCAGGGTGCCCCCCGCCCCTCTCTGTGTCCCTTGGTGCTGAGCTCTTCTCTGGAAACCACACAGCTCCTCCCGCAGCAACCCCTGACTGCTGATTTGCAACACAGGCCACTCTCTCCAGCAAGGGGACAAGAGAGGCCTGGAAGAATCTGCCCAGCCTGGGTCTCAGGAAGCAGCATCGGAGGTGCCTCAGTCATGGCCTGGACCCCTCTCCTCCTCAGCCTCCTCGCTCACTGCACAGGTGCTGCCCCTCGGGTCCCAGCCACTGGTCCAGTCTCGGGGCTCTGGGTCCAGTCTGGCTCTGACTCTGAGCTCAGCAGGGCCCTGCCTGTGGTGGGCAGGATGCTCAAGAAGCTGCTGCGGGTGGATGGGCTGGGGGGCTGAAATCCCCCCACACTGCGCGCCTGTGCTCACACTGCCCTAAGCGCTCTTTCATCCCTGGAGCTGTGTCCAGGCCAGGCACGTGGGAAGATTTTCTTGGAGTTCAGCTCCTCAGTTTCAAGCCTTTTCTCTCCCCTTTTCTCTCCTGTAGGTTCCATGGCCTCCTATGAGCTGACTCAGCCACCCTCAGTGTCAGTGTCCCCAGGACAGCCAGCCAGCATCACCTGCTCTGGAGATAAATTGGAGGATAAATATGCTCACTGATATCAGCAGAAGCCAGGCCAGTCCCCTGTGCTGGTCATCTATGAAGACAGCAAGTGGCCCTCAGGGATCCCTGAGCAAGTCTCTGGCTCCAACTCTGGGAACACGGCCACTCTGACCATCAGCAGGACCCAGGTTCCGGATGAGGCTAACACTGTCAGGCGTGGGACAGCAACACTGTACACAGTGACACAGACAGATGCGGAGTGAGACAGAAACCTGCCCCCTCGACCTGGCTCACAAGGCCCTGCCCTCTCTCCTGCCCCATCACACTGAGCAGGAGGGCGCCTTCCATGTGGAATGGAAGTTTCCAGTCCTGTCCCTGCCCTTATGTTCCCGAGAGATGGGAGCAATTTCCTGCCCACCTCTAGGCTCAGCTTATCCCAGAATAAACTGAGCTGGTCGCTTTGATGATCAAATGCCAGCTCCCAAAAGACCTCAGAAATCCTGGTATCTAAGTAGCACCAAGTCTATTAGTATCAAAGGAGACCAGCCCTAGGATGGAGTCATTTTAGTGTCTCAGAAGGCACAGGGCAATGGAAGGTTTTATGAGGCTTCAGGATATGCATGTGAGCAGTTAAAGGCAGGTCTTACAAGGAAGGGACCTATTAGAATTGCGGCCTGTGATATCATAGCACAGCCTGGTGGACACAGAGAAGGGAAGGTCTTGAATCAAGTCTTGATCAATAAATATTCATTAGATAAGTGAGCAATTTACCTAGGTGAGAACTGTGTGCTCTCTTGAGCAGACCACTTACCTGGATAATTGGTTTTCAGAAATTTCCTGAAGCAATGAGAGACATTCTTTATTGTTTACATGTACCTCATCCTCCTGGGAAAGAGTGTCCTGGAACCAGCAGTTAACACTGACACAGTTGGTTTGAGTCCTCAGCACAAACATTCATTGCAGGCTGAAAAGTGATAATGGAAGAGAAAGGAGTTTATTAAATCCCTAGACACAACCAAATCCATGAGCAGGTATGAGAGATGCGGGCTCAGCTGGCCCAGTCCCACAGGGGTCATCCCTCTTTTGATGGAAATGATCACATGAGGGTTCCCCAAGTGGTGTTGGGGGACCATCCAGATGGAGGGAACTGGCCTCCCAGGGTTCCCTGCTGCTTGGACTGAGCCAAAGTTAGAGGGATGGAAGTCTGGTCCAGTCCTTCCCAGCAGCATCTCCAGGCTCCTCCTTCCTCTACTGGGGCTTCCTCTCTCCTCCCCAGCACCATCATTGCTGCCTCATCTCCTGTCTCCTCCCTGTGCTCACCCTGACTCCTCCCTCTGCTCCAAGCCCAGCCTCTGTAGAGCAGCCAGGGCCCAGAGACTTGGGCAGAAGCTTCTATCCCACCAGCTGCAGAACCTTCCCTACAGAACCAGGCCAGTCCCTGTGTCTCGTATTTGTAGAGATCCCAATCCCCCTCAGATGCCAGGTGGGCTCTCTGACCCTAGCTGGGAAACAAGCCCACAGTGACCCAGGCTGTTGGCATATGGACTTCAAGCTGGCTAGACCCCACTTGACTGCATCTCCCTGGCCAACTCCAACATCCGGGCTGGGAGTCTGAAATCCTAGTTCCCTTTGCCCATTCACTTCCACTAGATTTGCTTCTAAACTCCCTGTGCCTCAGCTAGTCTGCCCACCAGAATCAGCGACGGGCATTTTCCAGGGCTGTAGTGAGGGCCCTGGAACTCTCTCTCTCTCTCTCTGAGCCTCTGTTTCCTCATCAGTAGTGGGAGCTAGAAGACCCCCTGCCAGGTGGGCCAGTCCATGACATCTACAGAGGGAGCAGGAACCTCTCCTATTTCCTGGAGAAGAGCTGGGGTGGAGGCTGCAACCCATGATCATCAGAGGAGGTGGGGTCTTCAAGGCTCCCAGGGACCCCTTAAGCGGGGGTCAGAGTGACTTCAGGGGTCTTATTGTTTGATCCAGACAGAAGATGTTTCCAGTTGTGAAAAATGACTTCAGGGACAACAAGGACAGAGATCCCCCTCTCTGGACACCAGTGGTTGATGTGCCTGGAGTACTCCTCGTACCAGGCAGGGGAGAGAGTCCTCGACAGAGGAAGTTTTAAGTGTCACCTAGATTTGGGGTCTCGGGGCCTGTATCAGGGGTAGGTGATGTCACAGTGAGTTGATGCTCTACAGCCCCTTCCCTAGGAGGTGGCAGAGGGAAGAGCTGGGGGTCATCTGAGGTGTGAGTGAGTCCAACCCTGAGGGTCTTCCCAAGCTGCAGGTGCCTGGGTGTAGAGGGAAGAGGTTCTGGTCAGACAGGTCTGGTGTTGAATCCTGGTCCATTTATTCATTTGGTCAAGAAATACTCATGGAGGGCCCACTATGTGCCAGGTGCCACGTCAGGTGACTGGGGACACAGTGTTGAGTGGGACAGTTGGCCCCTTCACGGCTGGAGGTATGATATTCTCAAGCCGGGACTCAGGGCTCTACGATTGTATGTCAGATATACAGCCTCTCTGTGCACGTCTCCAGAGACTGGTTTCCTGGAGTTCCAAGTGACAGCCATCATTCATTCGCCTTGAATGCGAAAGTTAGAAGAGCATCCAAAAACGTAGTGACCCAGATCAATAATATTTAATGCAATATTTTCAAAAATCAAAATTAATGCCCAAAAAACCCACAATGCAGAAAATTTCAGGATCTGACTCACCCGCCTCAGTGGTTTCCCTCTCGGTCCTACCCACAGTCCCACAGGTGAGTGAGTGACCACGGGAATGCAAACCCAGAGTCAGGTTCCTGCACCCCCTTCTGCCCGGCCACCAGAGCCCTCCCCTGGGTCTCCACCTTCCTCTTCTGAAGAGCTCCAGTTGGTTAGTGCTCAGGCTTCTACTCCTGGTCTCTTCTGCCCCCTACTGGACTCTCCCCTTCTAGCTGCACTCCAGGCAGCTGGTGGAGGTTAAAGAACAGAAACCTCCCAAAACTCCACCTTCCAGTTCCAGGCTGGCTCCACCCCATGTCCAAAAAGTCTGGTCCTCCCAGGTCTCTAATTGCTATTACTAAGTCCCGGGGTGCAGTCTTTACACCAAGTCGCTGCGCGCCTCAGGCAAGAAACTCTCCCTCTCTGAGCCTCTGTTTCCACATCAGTAGAAGGAGCTAGAAGGCCTCCCTGCCAGGTTGACAAGTCTACTCTGTGACATCTACAAAGGGAGCAGGGATCTCTCCCATTTCCTGGAGGAGAGCTGGGGTGGAGGCTGCAACCCAGGATCACCAGAGAAGCTGGGGTCTTTGGGGTTCCTGAGGACTCCTCAGAGGGGGATCAGGAGCTGCAGAGCCAGCTTCTACCTCTAGGGACTCAGAGATCCAGAACCTTTGTCACTTCCTCAGCCAATACTTGTCATCCTGTGCCTCAGACTCTCCCAGATCCCAACAGTGAGAAGCTCAAGATGAGACAAGAAAGACCAGCCAGCTTGAATTTGGGGATGGTGGGGAGTGGGGAGCTGGGAATACCTGGACCTGGGAGAGAGGAGTCTGCAGTGCTTGCAGGTGGAGTTTCTGGGACGTGGGGGCTGTAGACTGGGCAGGGGACCGACCAGCAGGAGGCCAAGGTGGGGGACACCCTCAGACATGGAGCAGAGTAGAAGCAACTGGATGGGGTACACCCCTCTGCTTTGAGAGAGAAGGGCCAGGGCGGGACCCAGAGGGCTCTGCAGAGGCACCACAGACCCTCAGCAGGGGGGTCCACCAAGCAGGACAGCTGGACTTGACCTCCTCTGCCCAGGCCTGGATCCAGCCCTTCCACATCTCAGTCCAGGAGGGCAGGGGGCAGGCCTGGGTGGCCAGAGCTGCAGCTGCACCTGCTGGGGAGGCCTAGTCCAGTCCTCTAGGGTCCCCAGCCAGACTCGGATTTCCGACTACAACCACCATAGGAGGATGTGGTCTGCGGTGGCGACGTCTGCCCAGAGGCCACAGCAGGTGCAGGGGTGGGGGTAGGGGCAGCAGCTGGGGATGCTACATTTAGGGACAGCCCCTCTTTATCCCCAAGACCTGGGACTTTCCCTGGAAGGAGCCACAGCTTCTGGGTCCTGAGCAGTGGGTAAGTGTCATACCCACAGAGGGCTTGGGAGGGAGCAGCTTCAGCCTAGACCCTCAGGGTAGACCCTTCCCCAGCCCCCATAACACAAAGAGCACAAGAACAGAGGCAGGAACAGGCCAAGCTCCCTGGTGGAGAAGAAGGTGTGCTGGACCAGGGGTTTCCTAGGGCCCTCCCTTGTGCCCTGAATGATGTATGTTAGGGCACCTACACAACGATACAGATCAGTGCCTTGCCTATCTCCAAGGACAGGGATGTGTGGTGATTATTTGTATAATCCAGCCCCCAGCGCCTGGGCCTCAAAAGTTGCCCAAGCAATACATATAAAGATCCAGCCTGGAGATCTTTGAAAACTGATTCGATGAGTCAAACCATTAAGCCATGAACACCATCCTCAAGTTCATCTCTTTCCTCCTCCTCCTCCTCATTATCATCACCTTCAAGAACTGTGAAGGGTTTGAGATTTCATCCTATTTGCAGACTAAAATGTAAGCCTGCCACAATGTCATGGATGCTGGCAGAAGATACAGGATTCCTGGGTCAGAAACAATGGACAGTCTGTCTTTCACAACAATAGCAGTTGCCAAGGTATCAGCATTGTCTTGCACCAGTTCCACAAGGTGATGCAAAGGCGGCCATGTGACATCTGCATGCCAGAGCTCAGGGATCTTAAACATTTTATACTTTACAGTAAGCATATCTGCCTTTTGCTCCAAAGAGAGGCACTCTCTGTACCTTCCAAGGTTGTTCACTCTACAAACATCCTTGCAAAGATAATCCACAAGAAAGGCAATCAGTGCCTTTGCCCGAGAAACATGCAGAAATGCAGAGATCCATAGCAGACCACTGTCTCCCAACAACCATCAACTTTATCAATGAAATGAAGTCTTGGGCAATTTATCTGTTACCACAGCCCTCAAAAATATCTGGCTTGATTGTCACCAAATGTATCAGGGAAGTTAAGGAGTATCTGACTCAAAATATGAACCAAGCAATTCTCAAAGGGGCCTCCCAAGAAATTCACTTTAGGAAGTCCTACAAGGCTCCTCTGAGAGTTGCTAAAACAAAACATTGACAGCCCTAGAGGGCTGCAGATCCGAACTCGAGCAGATATTTTTAAAGATTTTGTGGCAGAAAAAGTAACTGGAAAGCAAGAGGGCAGACCCTCACTGCAGTTCTGTAAGGTGACAGAACAGGGGCCTTTCTCACCAGAGTATGGGGTCCTGAAGATCTCAAACATTTTTATACTAGGTTCTCAGGGGCAACAGAAAAGATGGGAGCGGTGAATGGGGGGTAAAGGAATGCAAATGACACAAGGGGCCACATGAAGCAAAAGAGGTTTATTCAACCAGATTTAGTCCATGTTTAATTGAGCAACTCCTTTGTGATGAGCTCTGGGTTTTCCCATGCACCAAGCAGTATGTTACCACCTAGACCCAGAGAGCCATGTCATCATCAGGAAAGCACGCCCTAGTGTCATGCAAGGACCAGGCCTCAGATTCCGACTCCAGCCCTACCGCCTCTTGGCCCTGTGACATTAAAAAAGTAGGGAATCAGCCTGAGCAGCATTTCCTCATCTTCAAATGTGGGGGACAGTAGATAATCTTAGCTGCCAGAATTAGTGCTTGTAAAGCACCAGGGCTAAAGAACATTGCTATTATTACTGTATTATGCATCATATTCCCATATCATAGTCAAAAAGGACCCCAACTCAAAGCAACTGCCATTCCTCTCCTCCTCCACCACTGCTGAATGGAGCCAGACATGAGTATTCTAGGTGGAGAGACGAATAGAAATACAGGGGACGAGCCCCTTCCTAGATCCTAGCGCAGCTTGCTCCTTACTCAAGAAATTACATTGGGCCCTGCATTCATGTTCTCTGGATGGTAATTTTCTCACCTGTAAAACAGAGACACTTGCCTCAATGATGCCCCACACGTTGTTCTGAATCCCAAAGTAAGGAACAACAAAAAGAGAACCAGGATTTGTTCAACACCCACTGAGTGCTTAGCAAACACATAGTTTCTTTGACCCTCACAACCTTCATGCTGCAGAGGAACTCTCCCCATTTTACAGATAAGGAAACAGAGTCCCAGGGGTAACCTAGGTCTGGATAGACTCCACATTTCTGATTTCACAACTCTTCCTTGCCTGAAGGATATAGAATCACTCCCTGCAGGGCTCTTGCCCGACTCAAGAAAGGGCCACAGGGTAGCCGGCCGGGCTTAACCTAGCCAAGAAACGGCTGGTCCCAACTGGCTGGAGTGCAGTGTGCAGTCACGCAGCCTGGAGGACTGATCAGAAAAGAAGCCACAGCTCCAGCCCCAGCCCCAACACCCTGAGCTCAAGCCCTTGGGGACTCCTGCTGGGCAGCTCTCTAGGCCCTAGGGACATGCTCCACAGACCCAGGCTGCCCTTTGGGAAACGGGGAAGGGAAGTGAGTCAGGTGTGCACCACCCAGGGCCCCAGAGGCGGGGCCAGGCAGGCAGCTGTGGTGGGAGGCAGTTGAGCCTTGGATTGTGTCCGCATCAGGGCAGTTGGTAGATGCCCCTCTGGGAGAGATTCCCAGGGGTAACAGCCATGGATGAAGGGCCTGGGCTAGGGACAGGGACCAGAGCCGGTCCAGGGAGAGGACAGAGCCAACAGACTGGGGCGCACTGTAACAGCTCTGCTGGCAAGAGGGACCTGGGCAAGGCCCTCCAGGGAGCCCACGCTGAAAGTCGGGTCAGAGGTGCCCCTGACCTTGAGGGCCAGTGAGACCCAACAAAGGCCAAGTGGGTCGTGAGACCCCTGAGGAGCTGGGTCCTGGTCCCAGGCAGTGCTGACCCCTGCTGCTGCTGGGTCTGGCCATGGTCGCCCACGGCCTGCTGCGCCCAATGGCTGCACCGCAGAGCAGGGACCCAGACCCTGGAGCCTCAGTTGGAAGCAGCCGATCCAGCCTACAGAGCCTGTGGGGCAGGTAAGGAGCGACAGATTTCAGGGAATGTGGGGGTCCTGCGGCAGAGCTGGGAAAGGTGACCAAGGGGAGACAAGCCAGAGGAGTGAGGAGGAAGGTTAACCCCTAAGAGGGGCCTGGGCAGACACTGGCTTTAACTAATCGGTTGATATTTGGTCCATCACAGATTTGTTTGAATTATTGTTTTTAATATCATATTAAGATATTATTTTTCTTGATTTCTGGGTTTTCTAACCCTACTTACATTTTGCACCAGGGTCAGTGCCTCAATCACCTAGTCCTAGTCCTCTGGGTAGGGCAGGAACAGAGGCAAAGACAGGACATCCACAGGGGGTGATGGTCACTGTCCCCACAGGATGCCCAGGCCTGTTCTTCTTCCTCCTCCTCCTCCTCCTCCTCTCTGCCCATGTGCCTCCTGCCCTGTGAGGGCAGGGGCCATTCCCTGGAGAAGGCAGCAAGGGCTTGGCTTGGTCTCCCCCAAAGCCGTTCATTCACCGACTTGCACATAAATGCTTGCTGGGGCCAGGCTCAGGGACACAGGGAAGGTGGGCTGAACCGAGGGGAGCTGTCCAGTCATCGGAACAGGCCCATGTTTGGAGCAATAAAGGGAGAGGAGAGCTCCCTCTGGGATGATGCCCAGGCTGGTCTCACAGATCAAGGGGCACTGACTGGTGATGGGTGCCCCCAAAAGACAGAGCAGTGTCAGAGGAGAGGAGAGCACAGGATGAAGCTGGGAGCTCCTGGGTGACTGGGAAGGGGAGGAAGGAAGACCATAGGATCCGTGCCCCATCCCCAGAGTCCAGGACGAGTCCTTGGATGGATTTAGATAGGAGACTGATTATCAGAGTCGCATTTGTGTTTTTGGAAAAATTAGCACTGGATAGGAGGCTGATATGAGGACTGATTAGAGGAGAGAGGAGAGGGGGTGACGGCCAGGTCCAGGGTAGGTGCGGAGCCTGGAGGAAGTCGTGGGGTGGGGAGGACACACAGATCCAGAGCACCCAGGTGCCCAGTTTCCTATGAAATGGGAGCATGAAGCTGAAGTGAGGGATGAGCAGAGGGGAGCAGACACTCTCGGGGACTGTCTATGGGCGTTGAAATGTATAACCATTTTAGTAATAGGCGGCGAGTCAAAAAACAGAGTGTATTTATCTAAATTGGGCAATTCCACTTCTAGGAATTTATCCTAAGGGTGTGGCGGGGAGGGGAATAATCAAAGCTGTAACCAAATGTTTATAACAAGGGTGTGTTAGCTTAGCATTATTAATGATGGGAGAAAACTAGAAATAAACCAAATATCTGAAAGGGTGTGAAAAAACGCAATTGTATTTGGCGGTTGTTGTTGTTGTTGTTGTTTTGAAACAGAGTCCTGCTCTGTTGCCCAGGCTGGAGTACAGTGGCATGGCCACAGCTCACTGCAGCCTCAACATCCAGGGCTCAAATGATCCTCCAGCCTCAGCCTCCTGAGTAGCTAGGACTACAGCTGCAGGCCACTATGCCTGGTGAATTTTTATTAGGATTATTATTATTTTAGAGACAGAGCCTCGCTATGTTGCTCAGGCCTGTCTCAAATTCCTAGGCTCAAGCAATCCTTCTGCCTCAACTTCCCGTGCTGGAATTACAGGCGTGAGCCACTGCACCTGGCCCAACTGTGTTTTTAAAGTATATATGCATTTTCAAAAACCTCTCTGAAAATATAGAAAAATGTCAAGGGTGTGTCTGGCTGCCTGGTGGGATTTCCCCTAATTTTAATTGTGGCTTTATAATTTTCTGGTTTTGTGATGTTGTTCACAAAGAGAGACATTTCTTCTAATACAATTTTTAATACAAGAGTAACATACTCATGTACATTACTTTTTGCAATAAGTACATTACAAAATGTAATGACTTTTGTACATTACTTTTTTCTTGCTAAAAAAAAAAAATTTAAGCAGAGAAGTATACAAAGTAAAAACAGTGCCTCTTCTTACCATCTCCCACCTCTTCCCAGAGATAGCCACTGTCAGGTTGGTCAATATGCTTCCAGAACTTTTCCTGTGTTGTATGTGTCCCTGAAAATACACACACACACACACACACACTTGGTGTTGGGATTTTATTTTGCAAAAATAGAGCCATATTCTGCATATTACCAACTTTTAATCTATTATTGACACCTTCTGTATCAGTCCATATGGATTAACCACATCCATTGCTTATAAACTTTGCTTTATAAGCAAAGTTTAGATGAGCCAAGATTTATTTCCACTCAAAAATCTAAATGACAAATGATGCTGCAGTGGAAATTCGTGTGTGTGTGTGTGTGTGTGCAAAGTGCACTTATATATCTCCCCAGGATAGATGCCTAAAAGTGGAATTGCTGGATCAGAGAACGTACTTTTGAGATGTTATAGGTGGTGCTTCCAAAAGTCTGTGTCCACTCACTCTGGTGAGTGGTAGTGCCTTCTCTCCTACATTCTTGCCAATAATGCAAAATTGAATGTATTTATTGTTTTATTGTGTATTTTATTACTGGTGAAATTTATTTTTTATATTTTTATTTATTGGATTTATTTCCTCTGTGGTCACCATGTTGCCCGCTTTTCCATTCTGTTGTTTTCATCTTTTTATATATTTATAATATATTGGGATATATTTGGGATTTTAGCCACTTGTTTAACATATGCATTGCAAATAATTTTCCCTGGTCTGTTTTACGGGTCTTTTGTTTATGGGTCTCCCACCATAAAACTGTCGTAAATTTTTGTGTCGAACTGGTTTAACCTTTTATGGTTTCTGTGACCTCCGCCATGTGTAGGAAGTTGTCTTTATTTCAATATTATAAAGTCATTTTTCTATCTTATTGTGGTACTTTTGGTGTATTGGTGTTTTATTGTTTTTTTTTCTTTACTTCACCTGGAGTTTATTTTTGTGGATGTAGGAATAAAACCTTATCTTCCAAATAGGAAAGTCAATCATCACACCTTTGTTGAATATAAATGCAGCTTTACTCAACTACTACACATTACTGATTTGTTACATTCTTTCTGTGGTTCTCTTGGTTTATTGATCTATTCCCACACCCAACCTGTTTTGGTTATTTTAGCTTTATAGTATGTTCAGTATCTGGTAGGGAAAGAACCTGTCACCGCTACTTTTTCTCAAAATAGTCATGTCTATTACCCGTCGTTCTTAAGAATTAGACTGCAGAATCGGTTCCCTAATTTTCAAAAATCATTCTTTTGGTGTTATGTTTGTAATATCAGAGAATATGGGATTAATTTGAGAACTGCTATATTTATAATGCTCAGTGGTGTTTTTGTCCAGAGACATGACGTACTCTCCATTCACTCAGAGAAGTGGTTTAATATTTTATTCATGCAAATCTTGCACACTTTGTTTTTTACTCATAAAGCGTTTGTAAATATTTTATTGAAGTTACAAATTTTTTTCCCAATTTCATATCCTAAATGATTACTGTTTCTATAGCAAGGAACCCTGTTAACTTCCGTATGTTACTCTTGTATCCAGCCACTTTAACTCTTGTATTAATTCCAGCAGTTCTTCAGCGGATTCTCTGTGTGTGTGTGTTTAGCCAACTATCACACCATTTGCCAAAAACAATTTTCTCTCTTTTTCTCTAATATTTATACATCCTCTTCTCCCCGCTTTATGTCATTTCATTGGCTAGAATCTATGGAATATGTTAAATAATAAAAGTGAGACTAGACAACCTTACCTTGTTTCTGATTCTTCAAATGTTTTGCCTTTAAATATGAAGGTTGCAGTAAATTTGGGGAGATATTCTTCGTTAAGAAAGTTTTCTTCAGTAACTTAATAAAATGCTAAATGTTTGCTTTCTTTATGTGAGAAACAAGTGTTGAATTTATATTACTATTATATTAAATTGTTTCAAAAATCTGCTGCACACGTCTTAAATACAAATGTATTAAATACAAGCTGCTGTTGAGATGAAAATTGCTGGCCCCGTCACAATGGGTATCTTGCAATGTAAATAAATTCCCTTGGGAAATAAAATCAGATTTGGAAAAGTCTGAGGATTCTTGCCATCATGAACTCTTAGCCTGTGACCTGGGTGTTTTTCTTTTTCTCTGGGGGATGTTAATGGTATCTTGTGTCATGCTAGGATGTCTAGGACAGAGAGCAATACAATGAGGGGAAGGCATTCTGCGATGTCCCCATACCTCTGGCTTGAAGAGTAACTTGCTGAAGTGAGGACTCTGTGGAGGAGCAACGTTATATGGAAATAAGTTTAGTTGGGATCTATTGAGTTGGAAGTGTCTACAGAGCATCCAAGCAGACGTAAGTTGAGGAGGCAGAATATATGTGAATCTGGAGCCAAGAAGAGAGGTAAGGGCTGGAAATAGGGATCTAAGACCCCTGGACAGTTGTGAGTGTGCACAATGAGGGTCAGATGCAGAGAAAATTAGGAGAATACAGAGAGCAGAACCCAGGATGGGGATCTGGGAGTCGGCAGTTGGGCATGGGCCTGAGAGAATAGGAAGCCGAGGAGGAAAGGGGGCAGTCTCCGACACCAAGGAGGGGAGAGTGACTAGAAAGAAGAACTTCTTGCAGAGACCTAAGGGGACTGGGGAAGAACTGCAGACTGAACTGGGACAAAGCACTGTTGGCCTTAACCAAAGAGATTTGAGGGAGAGATGAGGCTGAGAGCCAGGCGACCCTGCCATGTCCCAGCATAAAAACAGTACCTGACACAGATGGATGCTTGGGAGCTGTTGTTGGATGAATGAGTGGACAGATGCATGGATGGATGGGTGATATATGGATGGACAAACAGATGAATAGATGAACAGCTGGATGGACAATTGAATGGATGGGTAGATGGAAAGAATGATCTGAGAGATCAGAAAAAGCTTCACGCACAAAGTGGGACTGAACTGCGTCTCCATGGGTAGAAAGCAGAGGACTATCCACTTGAGTCAGGAATGACCCAGTGTTCTCAATATAGGGAGAAAGCCAGCCTAGCTTGACTGGGGACACTCATGTGGGGGACTCAGAGGCCCTTTAAATGAGGTCAGACGAGGTTGGACGGGTCGAAGCCAACTCAGCACTCCTCTGCCACACTGCACAGGAGGGGATGTGTCACTCTGGGAGTTGCTGGGACCTATTGGTCCCAGTGTTGTCATCAGCACTCACAGCCTCAGAGAGGAAGGACACACACTGGGTTGACTCCAAGGCTGTGGGTGGCACTTGCCTTGGACAGGGGACAGGCATGGGGAAACCTCTGGGGGACTGGCCACCCCCCTGCCTCATGCCTAGGTCCCAGCCCCGCCTACTGAAACCCTGTGCCCATCATGCCCAGCAGGCTCCTACTGTAGCCCAGCCCCCAGGGAGCAGACCCCAGGTGCTGGCCCCGGGGGTTTTGGTCTGAGCCTCAGTCACTGTGTTACATCTTCGGTGCTGGGACCCAGCTCACCGTCCTAGGTAAGTGGCTCTCAACCTTTCCCAGATTGTCTCACCCTCTGCTGTCCCTGCAAAATCTGTTTTCTCTCTATGGGGCTTCCTTCCATCTGTCCTCCCAGCCTTAAGCACTGACCCCTACCTTTCTCCATGGGGCCTGGAGGAGGCGCGTTAGTCTCGGGGTAACTGGCAGGAAGGGCCCCCACAGTGGGAGCAGCTGCCTTCAGGTTCCAAGAGCTGGATGCAGCCTGGTCCCGGGGCCTGAGCTGGGATTGGGCAGGGTCAGGGCTCCTCCTCTCTTCCAGGGCAGATGTCTGAGTGAGGGACGGAGGCTGGCTCTGATCAGGGGCCCTGCAGTGGCCTTAGGGACATTGCCCAGTGACCCCTGGGGTCAAGGCCAGAGGCTGCTGGGGTGGGCCTGGGGGCTGCTGAGTCTCATAGTCTAGGGGAGTAGCCCCAAGAACAGCTGAGGGTCTAGGCTGAGGACTCGATGCCTATCCAGCCTGGGAGGGCCACATGGGGGCCTGGTGACACAGGGGTCACCCCAAGCGGAGACGAGTGGAGGGCACAGAGAGAGCTCTAGGTCTAGGCTGCAACTCTGTGGTCTGTGCTGGGTCATGAGGACATGGGGACACAGACGGACGGGTGAGACTGGGGGAGGTGCCAGAATCTGACCCTCCCAGGACAGTCACCAGAAAGGAGAGGGTGTCTTAGGGCAGAGATGTGTCTGTTCCTAGAGCCCCGTCACCTCTGGGGCTCGGTGTTTCTCCGTTCACGGATCAGACTCCTGCTTGCCTCAAAGGGCATGTTAGACTCAGGAGATGACCACAGGGGAGCAAATGAGGGGTGCAGAGAACTCCATGGCTACCACGCGAAGTTTGGGGTCATCAGAGGCTGCTGGGGTGGACCAGGGGGCTGCTGAGTCTCATAGTCTAGGGGGGCAACCACAAGACCAGCTGAGGTGAAGGGTTCTGTAGTCGGGCTCGTGGACACAGGAGACATCTCAAAGCCTCAGAGGAGCCCCGAGGCTTGTCTAGGTGGAGCCCACTCCTTGCCAGGAGAGCCAAGTGGGCTGGGTGGGGGCAGAGCCCGGTGCCTGTGAGGGGTAGAAAGCTCCAGTTCAAAGCAGGCTTGGGCCTCCCCACGCACTGCCTGCCAGGACAGTCCTACGGGCTGAGCAGGGGACCCACAGTTCAGAGGAGGCTCTAGGTCCCGGAAGAATAAAGTGGGTGGTGGAGGGGGTGTCTAGGGGTGGAAATGAGGGATCCAGGGGTCAAGGCCACATTCTGAACTCAGACTCCAGAGATCAGAGAAGGAACACAGCCTGCCCTGGGTATATGGGGAAATCGAGGCTGTAGAGGAGAGGGGCTGGACCAGGACACCTGGGAAAGGTGACTTGGGAGGGCTCCTAGGAAGGTACAGAGCTGTCTGCCCTCCACAGGGCATGAGTGGAAAGGACGGGGAAAGGAGAGAAGGAGAGAACCTCGAGTGGACCGGACGGCCCCACTGTGAACCCTCCCAGAGACTTTAGACAGAGAGAGGGGCTCCACAACACCCCGATGTTCTGTCTGCCCTCTCTCACCCCCTTCCCTGTTCAAACAGGTCAGCCCAAGGCTACCCCCTCGGTCACTCTGTTCCCGCCCTCCTCTGAGGAGCTCCAAGCCAACAAGGCCACACTAGTGTGTCTGATCAGTGACTTCTACCCGGGAGCCGTGGAAGTGGCCTGGAAGGCAGATGGCAGCGCTGTCAACGCGGGAGTGGAGACCACCAAACCCTCCAAACAGAGCAACAACAAGTACGCGGCCAGCAGCTACCTGAGCCTGACGTCCGACCAGTGGAAGTCCCACAAGAGCTACAGCTGCCAGGTCACGCACGAAGGGAGCACCGTGGAGAAGACAGTGGCCCCTGCAGAATGTTCATAGGTTCCCACCCCTCACCCCACCCACGAGGGCCTGGAGCTGCAGGATCCCAGGAGAGGGGTCTCTCTCTCTCTCTCTCCATCACAAGGCATCCAGCCCTTCTCCCTGCACTCAATAAACCCTCAATAAATATTCTCATTGACAATCAGAAATCTTGTTTCATCTCATTTTTTCCTAACTTCCTAGCCTTCCCAGGCATCTCAGTGTGGGGTACAGGAAATTCTGCATCTAGTGTCAAAGTTACCCAAGAGGAGGAGGCTCACAGCCTCCCAGAGTCATCTCCCCAAAGGGTCCTTCCTCTCCCAGTCACCCCTCCCCCAACTCTCCACTGTACCCCTGAGCCACCAGCCTGGCATCAGTTCAGACCAGTCCCACACCTTCCTCAATTTTACTTCTCAACAAAGACCTGATCATGTAAAACCCAGCATTTCTAATGTGCCATCTGTGTCTGGTCATGTGTCTGGGCTGAAGGGTCTCCGCTCAGGGACAGGGGGCAATTCCAGGTGAGATCCCATGTCACCATCATCCCACACCCCACCCAACCTGCCAGGGAACCGGGTGAGCTCCCTGTGCCAGTGGGAACCGCAATCCAGGGCAGAAAACTGTCCTGCAGTCTTTGCCCAACTGGGAAGGGACAGGGGCCCAGTGGGAGGTTTGCTGGGGGACTGTGGGGAGATTCAGGAGAAATGAAGGGGATCCCCGGAGACCAGATGTGGGTTAGAGGGAGCAATAATGGAAAAAGGACACCTTTGACTCAAGACCATGGTACCAGCAGGAACAGAAGCCGAAATTCCCCATTGCATACGAGGAACCAGTCAGGAGGGTGTTTCCTGGGTGAGTGGTAAATAACTGTGCCGCCATTGGGAACTCGTAAAAACATTGGGAGAGGAATCATGCAGATGTCTTTGTAAGGCTTCCACAATGCACACTGGCTGAGGAAACACACTGACAAATCCTGAACTACGGAACCAGTTTAATATGATGAACCATAGCATATCCAAAAGCATGGTGATCTCCTTCTCCAGCTTCAGAAGACCCAAAATACTCTGAAAGATACCAGTGCTTCCTGGAACTAGTTTGGGGAATATGGGGTGAGGTTGATGCATAAGATATTACAGGTGTGCGATCACATGGCTGTGGATTGGGGATCAGGCTCAAGGTTAACACTAGCGTGGGGCTGGACGTCAAGCATGAATGGTGTGAACTACTAAGTCAGGCCCAGGTAGAGTTAAGTTTCTGACTGGTTTGTGGATGGATCTTGATGATAGTCAGCCTCCAGGAGCAGGAGGATGTGGGGAAATTGAGAGAACATGAGAAAAGTCACCAATCCAAGCTCCGCATCTATTGATTGCCTGGGGGAGGCTATGTCAGAGTCGAATTCAGGATGAGCTTCAGGGCTGGGTCAGGCTGGATAAGAGCTGAGTGAACGCGGGCTGACAGCTCCAGGCAAGGCCTGGCATCCGTTAGGAGTCAGACCCCACAAACCCTCCTGCCTGCGGAGCACCCTCTCCCTCCCTAGCTCATGACGGTGCAGCCTCCCTACCCAATCCCATGTACACCTGCTGCCTCATCTCAGAGACTTCTCAACTCATCCCAGTGTCTCTGGCAGCAGATGATCTTGGCCTCCCAGGTGTGGAGACCCCAGCTGTCTTGGTGAGTCTTCAGTGCCTGGGTACTCTCAGACCCCTCGTCTCTGCCTCCAGCACATCAGGCATGTGGCAGCTGCCTTCACCAGACCTGCTGGGTAGTCCTGACAGGCCAGGGACAGAGCCTGCAAAGACAGGAAGCTCTGCAGTCACAATGAGGCAAAGAATGGGCCCCTTACAGCTTGATCACAGCCACACCTGATCCAAATCCCAGCCTCTCATTAGAAGAACACTTGAGGGTTCTAGTTGCCACAGCACCTGTCTGAGCCCATTTCATGGAGGGGAAAACTGAGACCACCAAGGGCCAGATCCATAGCCCTGCTGGGTATAAAGCCATCCTCAGCAGCTGCCTGACCTCCTTTCACTGTGTTGTAAGTTTCCATTATGGAAAACTTTGAACACATACATAAGGAGGCAGAGGAATAATGATGCCCCCAAGTTCCCATCACCCAGTCCCCCAAATAAGTAATTCACAGACATTACTGACCTACACATGGCAGAATAACCCCCACATTACACAATACTTAGTAACAAATACCAGAAATCACATCTTTTCAGCTGTAAATATCCCATTTCTATGCCGGAAAGATATGGGCTTAAAAATAACTACAATATTATTACCAAACCTAAATAGAAATTATCACTAATTTCCTAATACCAAGAAATAATCACGGGCTCCTCAAATGCCTCACAAATGCCAGAAGCATACTGACTCAGTTATGTGTTGGTGCCGTGGTTATTTTGGGGTTTTTGGTTGCTTATTTGAGAATTCAATATAGCATGAACTGGTGATGGGTGCATGTGCTGTTAGGCTGCTTGTCACTGGTGAATATCTCCAAATTACTCTAGTGCTTCCTGGAAAGGCAGGAGCTGCAGGAACTGAGAGCTGTCTGGGGACCTTCCCATGGTTGGAATAAAGCCACACCTCACAGAACAAGAACCCAGGACTATCATCTACTTCCGTTTTTGTTTTGTTTTGTTCTTTTCTGCAAAATGGTTAGAGCTTGGAGGGACATAACTGGACTCAGAACAGACATTGCAAAATAGCTTCCAAGGACATGGGGCTGCTAACAGCAAAGTCACCCATGTCACACTGCCACTCTTGTAGTAATGTTAGGTGCACAGGATGGTCAATAGCTACATCTCTCAGATGGGAAGGAAGGCAGAGGATTGAGGCTTCAGTTCACTACCTTCTCATGAGCGCTGCAGAGTGTCTTTGAAGCCAGGGGTCTACAGCTGGGCTCTGTTCACCCAGGAGTGAGCTGCATGCTCTAGGAAAGAGCCACTTTGCACACAGATGATCCAGGACCCAGCCATTCTTTCAGGGTGAACAATTCATGTCTTCTCTCATGGTGAACTCTAGAATTCGAGTCATCTAATGTTTTGGAAGCCACTGCCATTATATTTGATGATAATAGGTGGCCATCAATGAGAAATATTTTCCCAGGGGGAGTCACCCCAGTGGCATCAGACTTCTCACATGGCCCCACGAGATTAAATGGCTCCTATTAGTCAGAGGATAACACGGTCTAACTTATCATGTCCCTTTCTTATTTGTCTTCTATGTCTTTCTTGCCCCAGTCCTCGGATCCCCGATTGATCTCCCATCCCTTAGTGAGAGGTGGTATTTGGAGACCACATTCTGGAGGCTCCCTCATGTCCCCCATTTGAAAAAGACAATGACAGCCACCACCCCAGCTGTCCCACCCACCATGACACCAGATTCAGTGCTGCAGGGGATGCTCCCAGGGTTACCCTAACACATGTGCCTGGCATTTCATATTGGGACCAGCCAGGCCTCACTGACCAGGCCTAGCCAACTAGAACTCCTCCAGAAGGTGGGGCTGAAACCCACCAAGGTTCCCAGAACATTGCAACCAGCCTCTCCGTGGGAGGAGGGGGCACCCCTTGCATCACCCCATGGTGTTACCAAAAGTGGAACTATGGGTTGGTTCACCTTTACAGAGAAGAGCCCACCTATCCCATCTGTGGAAATTCACTCCTTAGTGACACTAATGCCCTCCAATAAATTCAATCCTGGACCTGACTGATGGTTGGCACAAAAACCAAATCTAAGATCCCAATGTCCTCCAGAAGCCTGGACTTCCAGGGATCCTGCTGCAGGTCACAGGATGTCACCGGTCCTCTTCTCTCTGTGGGTTGAGTGGGGGGGCCATGTGGACTCCCTCATGAGCAGATGCCACCAGGGTCACTGGCCCCAGCTTCCTCCTTCACAGCTGCACTGGGGGCTGGGGGTAGGGGCGTCCCAGGGAGGGTTTTTGTATGAGCCTCTGTCACAGTGTGGGTTATTCGGAGGAGGGACCCGGCTGACCGTCCTAGGTGAGTCTCTTCTCCCCTCTCCTTCCCCACTCTTGGGACAATTTCTGCTGTTTTTCTTTGTTTCTGCGTCTTGTCTCAACTTGTGGTCAGGCTTTCTCCCTGGATCCCAGGCCTGAGCAAGGACCTCTGCCCTCCCTGTCAGACCCTTGCCTGCCTCAGCAGGTCACTACGACCCCTTCACCTCTGAACACAGCGGGAGGGGACTGTATAGAATGACTTCCTAAGCCCCATTTGTCTGTCTCCTCTCTGTCTGTCTGGCTAGCTGGCGGGCTGGCTGTCTCTACATCTGCCAGAGGAAGGCTGGGTCTCTAAGCGTTCTTCTGTTCTGGTCTCCTCAGTCTGGGTTCTTGCTAGAACAGCGTTGCTCTTGGGTTACTTCCCTTCCATCTCCTGGGGAATCAGGAACAAGGGGTCCGAGGGGGGGACTTCTTGGAAGACTTTAGACGGACCCAGTGCCCTCGGGGCTGCTGCTCAGGAATCCCAGGGCTGGGACCCAGGACCAGAATCCAGACTCAGAGTGAGGTAGGAGGTGGATGGGCTGCCCTGGGTGTCTGGGGGCTGCCAGGGACTGAGCCCTGAGCCAGCCTGAGATTCAGGAAACCCAGTCAGGAGGGAGAAGGGAAAAGCAGACTCTGGATACCAGAAAGCCAGGGAAAGGGTCTCCGAAGGAGAGGATGTGAGGAAGGGGCAGGCTCCTGGGTCTCTTCAGGACATATCCCCTGTGCCCAGGGGGATCAGAGGGGGCAGAGTACACAGTGGGAAAGCCCCCCTGCTATGACCAGGTAGCCGGGATGTGGGGTGGATGCCAGAAAAGACCCCGTGGAATAAGAGAAACCCCAGGACAGCAGACACACTCTCTGACCTCTCAGGCCCTTGCCCCACACACAGGCTGCAGAACTCATGTTTGGCTGGAACAGCCTGAGGGACCAAAACGCCCCAGCATCCCACAGAGCAGGGGAGCCAGGCCAGAAAAGTAACCTCAGAGGTCGCTGTGCAGGAGAGACACA